GAGCATCACTGGAGGAGGGGTGGCAGCTCCCAGAGTGGAGAGGGAGGCTGTGCTCACAGGCCTGCATCTTAGGAACAAACCTGTCATGGGTTATAGTTCTATCTACTGATTCCCCCTTGTGATGGCACGTTGGGGTTTTCCCCGTCTCCTGCACCCCCGTAATGGCACGGACAGACTCCACCAGCCAGTAGCATAGAGGGAGTGTATTGCTTCTCCAGGATACAGCACAGCACAGATGGAATCTGGTTCCAGGGCAGGCCTAGGCTGACTCAGCCCCCCTTGAGATGAGGGAGCCTGGGCCCCTAAACCCCAGCCCATTGCCTAGGCTGATTCCTCCATGATCCCAGCCAGAAACCTAACTAACTCACTTCCAGCCCTGCCCCCAGCTAGGGCTCCACTCCCCTTCTTCCCATTGTTCCGCTCCCTGGGAGATAACTCGTCAGACAGGTTCGAAGCCCCGTTGCATAATGACTCATCCCCTGCCCTGCTGGGCCATGCTGCAGACAGCAGCCAGTGGAGGTCACTCACAACCCAAGCCTAGCAACCAGCAAGGTACCCACACTACGTCACACCCCACAGCCCAACCCAGCAGCCGCAGCCTCCCCAGACTGGAGCAGCAGGAGCGTGCCTGCCCACTGCTGGTGCTCCAGCTACGGAGAGCTGGGGGCTTGTGTCTCCAGGCCTTTCTGCTCCAGGCAAGGTGATCACATGGGCCTTGTTTTAAGGGACCCTCTCCTATTTCATTGCTTTGTTCTTTAGGGTGGCCACCCATCCCTTATTTTAAGGAACATGCCTTGAGCATTTGGAATATTAAAATGAAGTTTAAAATAATGAGAGAAAAAACACATGCTCAGCTAAGGGAAATGGTGTTTCCCTAAATTGTCCTTTATTTCGCCCAGGCTTTTCCCTTATTTCCATCCAACAAAGGTGGCCAGCCCAAGGGGAGGTTAGATCCCTGAGCAGAGCTAGTGGCGGGGAGCTGACAGCATTTCTCCCCCCACACACGCACTTGCTGTTTCATCTGGGTTTGTCCCACTGCAGAATGGGCAGCAGCTTCACCAGGACCCAGAGAAGAGCAGAATTACTCACCATAAGAAACAGTCAGCTCAATGGGATCACTTGGATGGGAGCCAGGAGCCTGGCACTTGTAGCTACCCGAATCATTCATCTCAGCCTCTTCAATCGTGATGCGGTTTTTTAGTGTGCTTCTCCAGGCTTTGCCGTTGCGATGCCATAATGTGCTTCCCCCAGGAGTGTAGGGCCTGCTGCACGTCAGAGTAAATCTCTCCCACCGAAACACCGTTCTCCAAGGGGGGTCAAGGGTCAGGGTGGATTTCTCTGCAGCCGCTGAGGAGCCGGGCAGAGAAAGAGAGAGAGAGCAGGACAGAGAGGACCTCAGCATACAGGACACAAGCTCCATGCCCTAAGCTCAGAGCCAGGGAACAGCGCAGAGCTATGCTGCTGGGCTAGGCTGCCACAGGGGTTAGACACCCGACTGCCTGGGCACTGCCCCGGTTATCAAGTATTGTTTAGCAGCGGGGAGGGGGTGTTACAGCAGCACCCGGTGCCATCCAGGTCCTGTTTAGCATCAGGGGGCAGTGGGGTAAAGTCCCAACAGTGCCCCTTGGCACCCAGGTATTGTCTGGTACTAGGGGCAGTCAGGTAATGTCCCAGCAGCTCCTCCCCCCGGCACCCCACTATTCTCTGGTACTGGATGGCCTGTCACAGTGGCACCCCGTGGTACTGTCTGGTAGCAGGGGGCCGGGAGACAACCTCCCAGCAGTGCCTGTTGTACCCAGGTATTGTCTAGCACTAGAGAGCAGGGGCAGCACCCCAATACCTGGGCCTCAGGGGTTGAGGCCCCTGGAGTTTATGCCAGGAAGAGTCAGAGATGGGCAGGACTCACCGGCTAGGCCGAAGGCTGCAAAAGAAAGGAAAAGGAACGTGTCTGAGTGTGCTGCCCGTGTCCCCCGACACCAGCCCGGGGGCTGTTAGGGGACGTCCTCTGGCCTGTGTGGAGCAGCCGCTCAGACATGGCAGTCCCTTCTGGCTTCTCAGTCTTGCCCACTCCCCAGGCAGTCTCAGCCCTCTCGTCCCCTGCACACAAGGACCCAGCGCCCCTGGGGGCCGGGGGCTCCCCCAAGGCCTCCGTTGGAGTCTGCGGCAGAGCGGGGAAGAGCGCCCGGGTGTCCAGACTCCTAGAGCTGCGAGTGCCCTACACCGTCGGGGCTAAGCACAGCCCAGAACCCCGCTGGGAGGGGCTCAGGGTGAGCCCTTGGACTCTGAGTGCGGCAGGAACTGCGCCCGGTTTGTCTCACACGAGACACCTGCTGGCAGCACATCCCAGCTTCCCCCTGCAGCTCACCCACCCGCCGCAGTGTGCCTGTCCCTGCTGCCCCACTTCTACTGGCCATGGCACGTCCCCCCACCTGGACAGGCACTTCAGACTCGCTGAGGGCAGTCAGGGCAGAAAGCCCCTTCCCAGTCTGTGGTCCGGAGGGAAGCAGAGGAACAGCCTCTGCCTAGACTCAGACCAGGATCCCAGCGACACCAGGACCAGGACGGATCCCTCCTGGTACCAGAGTCCAGCTCTCTTCATCCCCCCAACGTGTGAAGATCCGGGAACCCAGCAAACCTTGTGGCCGAACCCAGGGGGGTCCACACTGAGCTAGGTCGGACACAGGCTGCGTCCCTGGTGCCCATGGCTCTGCAGATAGATGGATGGGCCGGCTGTCTTGCCTGCTCTGGGGCAGTGAGGCCACCAAATCTCACTGCCTCTTCATGCGTACAGCTCTTCATCCCCCCAACGTGTGAAGATCCGGGAACCCAGCAAACCTTGTGGCCGAACCCAGGGGGGTCCACACTGAGCTAGGTCGGACACAGGCTGCGTCCCTGGTGCCCATGGCTCTGCAGATAGATGGATGGGCCGGCTGTCTTGCCTGCTCTGGGGCAGTGAGGCCACCAAATCTCACTGCCTCTTCATGCGTACAGCTAAAACCTAAAACGGCCTTTTCCCCAGCACCAACTGCCCCCAAAGAGCCACAGAGACAGAGCCTCGCTCTCCATCCCTGCAGGGGGGGAGCCCCCTGACTCTCACTGAACACCTCTGGGGGCAGCTGCTGCCATCTGCAGCCTGCATGGTGACCCAGACCTCCCGCCCAACCCAGGGCCCCCCAATACCCAGCCCCTACTCACCCAGCACAAGCAGCATGGCCCTCCCTGGCATCCTGTGAGAGGAGCTGCTGCAGCAAAACACCTTCCCCTTTACATACTGTCTCTGCCGGGGAAAGGGGAAGGAAACAGTTTGTCCTCTGCGTAAGGGCACCTCCCCACCTGCTGCTGCAGGGGCAGCACCTTTCACCCCACTCGGTGTCTGGAGCCTGCTGTGGGGAGCTCAGCACTCACTCACAGCCCGTCTGGGACGGGGCTGCCACCATGGCCCTGGGGATGAGGAGCTGGCAGGGCATCCCCATCGCCTCTCCTGGGGCCAGCGGATCTTTGACCCCCATGTCGAACCACCCCAGGCCTAGACAGGGGGCCTTGGTTCAGCCTCGTCCTGGCTCTGGTATAGACAGGCGATGCCTAGCGGGTGTAAATTGTTTCTGCTCCACTGACATCAATGGAGGGATTTACGCCAGCTTTGGATCAGACCCAACACGCTCTCCTTCCTCTGGTCCCTCTGTTGTCAGCAATCAGCTGCCAACCCTGCATCTGACCCCAGAGAAGCTGTATTCCCCTCTCCCCCCGGATCCTCAGCCCCCACCCCTTCATTCCCGGCCTGCCCAGTCCGTCTGCCCCATCCATAATGCCAGTCACAATGCTGGGTTCCCAGCCAGCCAGGTGCAGGCCTGACTCTGCTCACGCTGGTGTCGCTCCTGAGTCCGACCACGGAGTCACTCCTGTTTCACCCCTGGTGAGTGAGCAGCAGTCGGCCGTTCCAGTTCAGGTGAGGAGCAAACACGGGAAGCTAGTTACAACAGAGAGGGGAATGGTGTTAAAAATGACCCATTGAAAATGCTGCTTGGCCACGTTTGTATCCAAGGGCCCTGCTCAGGCAGGAGCTTTGCCTCGTTAGGTCTCAATACATTATCCCCCTTTTCCTGATGGCCAACTGAGGCACAGAGAGGGAAACAGCCTACCAGGGCCATCCAGCAGTGCAGCAGCAGAACTGGTGTTAAACCTATGAGGGTTCCCCCCAGGCTTTATGAAATTGGCTTATGAATATAAATATGCATAATTCGGAGATGCTTTGGACAAAAAAACCTCATGTAACGTATCCATGTTAATGCTACAGTCTGCTGGATCTCTATATCCGGTTAGGGCATGTATCATTCTGGTCTGTAAAGTCAGAAATATTAAGTATGACTGAGACTAAGGGTATGTCTATTCTGCAAGGCTACGTCTACACTGGCATGATTTTCCGAAAATGCTTTTAACGGAAAAGTTTTCTGTTAAAAGCATTTTCGGAAAAGCACGTCTAGATTGGCAGGATGCTTTTCCGCAAAAGTACTTTTTGCGGAAAAGCGTCCGTGGCTAATCTAGACGCGGTTTTCCGCAAAAAAGCCCCGATCGCCATTTTTGCAATCGGGGCTTTTTTGCGGAAAACACTACTATGCTGTCTATACTGGCCCTTTTGCGCAAAAGTCTTTCGGAAAAAGACTTTTGCCCAAACGGGAGCAGCATAGTATTTCCAGAAAAGCACTGATGATTTTACAGGAGATCGTCAGTGATTTTCCGGAAATTCAAGCGGCCAGTGTAGACAGCTGGCAAGTTTTTCCGCAAAATCATCTGATTTTGCGGAAAAACTTGCCAGTCTAGACACAGCCCTCTGCTATTTTAGGATCCCGGAGGACCCTGTGTCTACAGAATACCCTGCATCTACACAAGCTGCCCGTTATTTCAAAATATTTTTGGAAATAACAGGTGCGCTATTTTGCCATCCTGGCAAAGTTCATGGCAGAAGGAATAAGGGATGGCTCAAAATAGCATTTTATTTCAAAATTTGGCACTGTGTAGATGCACCAAATTTCAAAATAAGCTATTTTGAAATAAAATCAAAATAAGATGTGCAATTTGCATAGTGTAAACTGCGTATCTTATTTCCAGTGTAGGGTGCAAGTTTAGCTGCATCCTATGGTTTTAAATGGACTACTGGGAGCCATCAAAGGTGCGCCTGAAGACTTAATGACTAGGTGATCAACTTAACTTGTGAACAGCCTTGATTGTCCTGTAAGTCCAAGAGTGATTGGACTGGTAAGACATGTGATCATATCACATGCTACTGGGATTCCAGTTTGACCAGGTAAGTTTCTATGAAAGGGGAGAATGTAGAAGAAAAGATTCCCGCCCAGAAGAATGTCTATTTAAGCAATGGGAAGCTATCAGTCCCTTTGTCTTTGGCTGGCATGGCACCCCCAAAAAGAGGGCTGGGGACCTGGATCAGGGCCCCCAAAAGAGGGCTGGGGACCTGGATCAGGGAAAAGTCTTTGACCTGGGTTGTGGCTACACTGGGAAGGTTTGGCGACAAAAGTGCTGTCAACATGCAAAAGTGAAAACCGATCAAGCTGCCTCCCATTGTTAGCATGTCGTGGCCATATTGTTAGCTCCCCTGTTGACAAACAGAGCAAAGCCATGTGGGTCAGCATCCCACAGGGCAGTGTTATGGGAAGGCAGTGATGATCCCCTACGGTTCTTGGGATTCGCTTCGAGCTCTCCCATGGCCTCCTCAGCTGCTGGGAGCAGCATCGTGAGTTTCTCTGAGAGCTCTCTGGGCTGAAGAATATCAAAGCAGCAGAGCAGTTTCTCCAGCCCTCCCCCAGCAGCAGCCGTCTGCCTGCCGCTGTGTTCCTAGCAGGGCAGAACAGGAGCAATACAATGATTTGTTCTTTTTGTTTGTTCTCCAAATGGTGCGCAGCTCTCTCAGCTGTCAGATACTGCCCAGAGCTTTGAAAGGGGAGGGGCACATGCCTGCAGGGCAGCAGTGACCACAAAATACTGAGCAGAGCCATCAGGGCTGGCATTGTGGGATACAGGCAGAAGCCAGTTCTCTGGACAAAACAAACCACAGAGTCCACACTGGCACTTTGTCAACAATAAAAGGAGAGGAAAAGAAAAAAGTCTCTCACGGGTGGAATTCTTTTGTCGCCAAATCCAGGTGTTTTTCCTTGACAAAAGTCGTACTGCAGTGTAAACACTCACACTGTTTTGTCAATAAAAGGCAGTTTTTATGGTGACACAACATGCCAATGTGGACAAGGCCCTGAAGAGTATGGCTAGGACAAGAACAGCTTTTTAGGTTAGAAACTGCTTGCAATAAGTTGTAGTGTATTACAACCAGCTACAAGTTTTCATTTTAATTTTGTAATTTACTTTGATCTGTCTGTTTTCACTTGCAAACACTTAAACCCTATTGCTTGTACTTAATAAAACACTTTTGTTCATTGTCCAGCCCAGTGTAAATAATTGATCCTGGGAGGAGAGGGGAATGACAGCCAGTGTGCATATCCTCCTTTCAGAAGTAAAGGGGGCTTGCCTGAATTTACTTTCATTGTGTAAAATTGTACACAGAGAAAGACGGATTTATTTAGTATTCTGAACCCTTTTGGGGATTGGTTTCCTGGGCGCTGTACACCCTCCCAGAGCTGAAGTGGCTCTCTGGGGGGAGAGGCGGTTACCCCAACTCTCTGCCTTGTCTGGGGGAGACCAGAGGACCTGGCCCAGCAGGACAGAGGATGGGGAGCCACAGAGAGCAAGAAGGCGGGGGTCAGTGGCATGATCAGCACACCGGGGAACAGTCCCAAGGGATCTTCTGTGACCACATCCCGTCACAGGAAAAACGTTTGAGTCCCAGTCTCACAGCCTAATTGCTAGGCTACACTCCCTCCCTGGACAGCTGGGGGCTTGAAACACATGTCCCCAAAGGGACAGGAGCCTAACCCCAGCCAATCTCCACAGGCACTTATCTGACTGCCTCCATGGATTCCCCTCGCTGGATTGCCAGCCACCACCACACGTAAGCACCGCGGGTGACAACTCGCTGGCCCTGCCCTCTGCCTGGTGCTCTTCAGGCTATAGCACAGCTGGGTGAATCGGAATTGCCACTATGCAAAGCAAGAGACTCTCCCAGGGCTGAAGAGGAACTGCTACCATGAGAGCCGAGCTTGTGAGAGCAGAGCGCATGAGAGCTGAGCGCTGCTCTGTCAACACCTGCTTGGTCCTGGCAGGAGTTTGCAGGAAATGAGTGTTTAATTCACTTAACTCTTTTCCTTCCTCCCGTGGTTCTGGAACAATTTTTAGGACGGGGGTGCTAAGCTGCACCCCTCCTTCCCACCATACCCCATCCACATCCCTCTCCTGCCCAGGCTGGGGCCACAGCCGAGAGCAGCTGCGGAGCCCTCAGCATGGGGCTGACAGTCAGGCGCCAACAGCAGAGCCACCAGGATTCTGGGTGGCAGTGAAACCCCTGGCAGCCAGGCTCCTGGGGCCGACAGCAGGGCCTGTGGGAGCAGCAGCTGGACAGGGGGGCCTGCCGCTGGGACCCCCTGGAGCTGGCAGTCAGGGCTGTGGATGGCAGTGCCAGGAGCACAAAATCTGTGGAGATGCTGCAGCACCCCTCACATCCCGACTTCCAGTGTCGATGCCTTTCTCCACCCTCCATCAAAACCAGGGGATAAAACCAGCCGGGGGGGGGAGGGGGCAGAGAAGGGAGTCCCAAAGGACCCAAGTAGGACAGAGCAGACTCCTCACAGCAGAGGGAGAGACAGCCTAGAGCACTGGGCCTGTGCGAGATGGGAGGCCTGAGGGCGTCGGTCACCGAACCCTGCCAGTGATGGTTCTTTCTGAGCAGCTTTGAGGTCTGAAAGAGCAGGCGGCCTTAGCGGCTGTTAGCACAGAAGCACGGAGCAGCCTGCAGGGTGTTTCTGAGGGTAATGACATTCCAGCGTCCACACGGGAGACCC